TCTCTCTGACCGCAGTTCAATTACTCATTACCTACACACACTTTTATTGTCCCGTCACGTTGTCACCCTCATTTATATACCAGACTACCCCATATCTAGTAAATCCTAGAGCATTCGCCAAGGTACAGAATAGTTCTAGAAACGTGGCGTCACACTAGTCATGTGACTTTGCTGACGCAACAATATTACCGAAAAACAGAGATATATTGCAAAATTTGTTTATCCTTAGCCATACCACAGTTCTTTATTAAACTACTAGAGCACCATTTGAACAATTGGCTTTTCCACACCATAATGACTTCAATGAGATCATCAAAGAGCATTATCGGCGCATTTTGTATGTTCCTTGGGCAAATGAATTTGAAGGCAAAATTCCTATTGATACCGGTCTATTCTGGGCTAGAGTTGGAAAATATAGAATGCATTGAGTGAAAATACTTTTCTCCAGATATTATGATATGCGCTTTCATGCCTTTCAGTTCCAATTGGCAATGCCATTGTTGAAATGATCTTTTCATTAGTGACCATTAACAAAACGAAAACAAGAAACAAAGTGGGTTTGAAGATGCTTGACTTAATTGTTCGTATTAAGACCACACTCTCATTTAACGGAAAATGCTGTAAAAAGTTCGTTCTTTCGTAGTCTATGTTGAACCGTTTTACTTCAGGTGTGTATTCGGTCCCAAAATTCAAACCAAAAATAATGCAAAACGTGAATTATTATCATTGTTGGCCTAATTGTATGTGATATTTTGTGAAATGAAATATACATCTAGTTTCAAAAACTATGGTATGAAATATACATCTAGTTTCAAAAACTATGGTGTTTCTGTGCAAACTATTTTTCTTCAAATGATATTAATTTCCTAAAGTTGTTGTATGCAAACAGTTACTATAAGAACACTTAAGCAATAAAAACATCGACAATTTTTAACTGATATTTTGTATCTACCCATTATTATAGGGCTTGTCCATTTCCCGTCGACTTTTAAATTCAAAATTGTCAGTTTCAGTGAACAATATCTAATGTCCTGGCGGTATAGTTTGTAGTCGGTGTGTAGCTTTGCCAGAAGTACTCGTGAAATTAGCTAAACTAATTTTATCGTTCGTAGGTTACGAAGTAAAATCCATCCAAATTGCAATAGAAAAATGGAGAGTGCATAATTTTAAGGGTTCGTGGTTGCTGTTGTCGATTTATTAACTAAGCTCCACGTTTTTAGTTTCTAAATTGACTTGTAAGTTGTAGTGGAAAATTATGTAATATAAATTACATTCATAGTTGCACTGTCGTCAACTCCAGTGTTTACCCTGGCTTGGTACTACTACTACTACTACTACTAAACTATTACTAGTTCTAGTAGTAATACTACTAATACATGTGCTGGTACTGGTAGTAGTGACTACTTAGTCTAGTACTAGTGCAATATAAGCCAGTGGAACATTACAGGTCCACAAACTAATATTAATAATCAATTTAAAAGTCTAGAGATTGACAGGCATGTGTATTATTTTATTTTTTATCATGATGATATTTAACCTAAAAAACATTTAACTTTTCCATACAGAGAAAGATTATATTTATATAGTGTTAGTGTTAATCGTGATAATTTTTATAGTTGATGTGGTGTCATTTCCACTTTAAGCCATTTGTGAATAATTTTACAGCTAAAGTGCTATAATATATATATATATATATATATATAGTATCTAAATACACAACAGAAATAACTAAGGTGATGAAGTATATATATTTATTTGAGACAGATGGTCTATAAGTACAGGAAACAAAGAGAGAAAAAGAGGGCCTATTATTTAAAACGTAGAGAGAGAGAACATTATGCTATAAGAGACAACGTTATGCAGAAGAAAGGGCGAGACTGGAATATTATGGTGAGATTTGCATCTTACTATAATGGACATAGCGTGTATGTCACTGTCTATGTATGTAGCCAAAACTCCTGTGCCATGTATTGAATGGCACCACAACCAAAAATCCATAAAAAATTTCACACTTTGGGTATTCAAGATTCAGACAATTAGAAAAGTAACTTTGGTATGTGTAACAAACATTTCTTTATAATAAAACACAATTTTAAATAAAGTACTCTATTCACAACAAGAACATGTGAAGGTTTGATATATTTTTATTGATATAATTTTTAATTTTAGTACTAAGAAATGAGTTCTTTAAAAATGTATTTTTTCAATAAACAGTACCACTTTTAATATATAACAATGTTACAGTATTTATCAGTAAAAGTTTTGATAATTTTGAGCTCTGTACATTGAATCATTTTTGATTCAATGAGTTGTGTATGACTAAATAGCACACATGATTCGAACACTTCCCCCATCCAGAACTTTCCAGAAAAAAATTCTTTTTAAAAAATTTTCACTTTTTTTCTAAATTTTTTTCAATGAGGTATGAATAATATGATTTGTAATTACTAGCACAAGTAGCTGACCATAGGGAGAGGTTTCTGCTAATCTTACTGTAATGTGTATGTGAGTATCTATGTATGTAACCAAAACTACAGAAAAGTCTTTAAACAATCAACATTTCATCTTTGTATCAATATTATCATTATGTTGATTGTTTGAAAACTTTTCTGTATTCTTAGGGTGTGTTTTAAACTTATAAGAAGAGGATCCAAAGAAAGCCATTCGAGATGGGAAGGCCAAAAAAGTATAAAGATGATGGTGAAAGAAGGAGAGAGCGAGCAAGAAGGGAAAAGGAACGACGGGCTCAAGAATCTCTCGAGCAAAGAGAAGACAGGCTAAGAAAAATGTCGCAGTATGTGAAGATGAAAAGAGCAGCAGAAACGGAAGAGCAAAGGCTTGAGAGGCTGAGGAAGATGTCTCAAAATGAACGAGATCGGAGGGCTGCAGAATCGAAAGAACAAAGACTTGAGAGGCTGTGGAGGATGTCTCAAAATATCCGTGATCGGAGAGCAGCAGAATCAAAAGGTGAAAGTTGTGTATGACTAAAGAGCACAATCCGAACACTTTTCCCGTGCAGTACTTCCCAGAAAAAAATACTTTTTAGAAAATGTTCACTTTTTTTTCATCAATTTTTTAGAGTTAGGTATGAACACTATGATTAGTAATTACTAGTACAAACAGTTGCCTGTAGGGCAGCATTTCTGCTATTTGATATAAATGATTAATTTATTTTCAGTTTGAATATGTTTAATTTGAAACTTTAACACAATTTTAGCAGATGTTGCACTGTTAATTGTTATGTTTTGTCCTCTGTTCAAAATGAATCATTAGCATTTTATTTTTTCTGATAACTGGTTGAACATGTGGAAATATCATAATGTATGTTGCACTGAACAATTGGCTAAATTCAGCCAGTGATAACAGGAAATTTTAAACAATATTATTTAGTAAAGTCCATTCTACCATTATTCTTCAACAATACAGGTTCAACTGTTGAAAACACCAGGATCGGATTAGATTTTCTGAATGTGATTAATGAACGTGGTTGATCCTGTATGTCTTTATTATAATCAAAACTGGTTAACTTAATTTGTATTTATATTTTAGATTCAAGTACCACTATCAGTATCAGTACGTAGTCAAGTACGAGAAAATTTGTTAGTCCTCTATCTTACTGTTCATTTCTCATGAAGATATCGTTTCACATTTTATAAAAAGTGTTGAATAACATGTTCAGTATTCCAGTAACCATGATTATACAGTATTTAGTGGAACGTATATTTAATTTATAAGAAGAATTTCAAAGTTACTGCTAACATTCTTCATTCTTATACCTAGCCTGAAGTTGTGATGATCACATATCTGTCAGTGTTGAGTTTAGTAGCCTATACACCTAGCTTTAGATTCTGTAATGGTGGTCAGATATCCATCACTGCCAAGTTTAATAGCTTTACACCCAGCTTTAGATTCGGTAATAGAGGTCAGATATCCATCACTGTCAAGTTTAATAGCCTTACACCTAACCTTATATGAGGTTATGGTGATCAGATAACCATCATAGTGAAGCTTAATATCCTGTACACCTAGCCTTAGATGAGGTTATGGTTGTTAGGTATCCATCATTATTTGTGACTTATTCTGTATTCTAGTTAATTCACATGTGACTGTGCCTCTTCTGTGTTCTAAAGTGCTAATCCACATGTGACTGCTTATTGTTTGTTCTAAGTGATCCACACATGTGACTATTCTTGTTAATCCACATGATTGAGAGATTAAAAACAGGTTAAGCACCGGAGTCAGACAGTGTTTCCCAGGTAAGAGATTAGATATGGAGAACTTTATTTCATTGTGGATAGGTCAATATAAAATGGGCAGGTATCTGAGGTTAGCAAAGTTGCTCCTTATAATGCCCTGGAAATTACAGGCCAATTAGTCTTACTTCAGTAATGATAATAGTGAGCGTTTGGTAAAAGAACCTTTACAAAATCCTTTAGTGAAATATGATATTAGAAATGAAAGGCAGCTTAAATTTATAAAAGGAAAGATAGATGTCAAGTCCAATCTATCATTCAGTTCATCGTTTGTCACTGAGTTGTATGTGTTGAAGGGAATTCTACATTGGACAAGGGCAAGTCAAAAGAATAAAACTAGGTTTCATATAGTGGTGAGGCATATATTATATGTTTGGTGTTTTGAGTCATCAAACTATTAATTTGTCAGAAACAGTTCAGAAGAGGGGGCTACAAGATTGATACTTGGGATCAAAAAGTTTCCATACAATGATAGTTCAAGACCTCTGGAATTGTCTTCTCTTGGAAAAAGGGGAGTTAGAAGATGTCTAACTGAAGATTAAGTTTATTAAGGGAATTGATAATATTTATGCATCAGATTTTTTTCATTCTTACTGGTGAGAATAGTACGACTAAAGAGCACAACATAAACTGGCATAGTAGGGGTCATGTTCATCTTAGACAGTTTTAGTTTTTCAACAGGGTATTTGGCCTTTGGAATGGGTTCCTTCAGATATGGTAAATGAAGTAAATTTAAGGGAAAACTTAAATATTTAAATGATCAGGGCTGGGTTTAATTTGGGGGGCAGCCTTGATGTTCTTTAATATCATGTTTATCATAAGATTTGAAGAATGTGGCATTAAGCCTACTAATTTATTATTGTGAATTATTCAGTAGATAAGCTGTTTGATATGTTAAAAATATAAAGGCCAATCTATCATTAATTAGCCTGATCATGAGCTGTTTAATATGCTAAAAATATAAAGGTCAATCTATCATTAATTAGCCTGATCATGAGTTGTTTAATATGCTAAAAATATAAAGGCCAATCTATCATTAAGTAGCCTGATCATGAGCTGTTTAATATGCTAAAATATAAAGGCCATTCTATTGTTAATTAGCCTGATCATGAGCTGTTTAATATGCTAAAAATATAAAGGCAAATCTATCATTAATTAGCCTGATCATGAGCTGTTTAATATGCTAAAAATATAAAGGCCAATCTATCATTAATTAGCCTGATCATGAGCTGTTTAATATGCTAAAAATATAAAGGTCAATCTATTGTAATAAGCCTGATCATGAGTTGTTTAATATGCTAAAAATATAAAGGCCAATCTATCATTAATTGGCCTGATCATGTGTCATATAATTTACTACACAGTGTAGATTATGGTGGAACTGTTTTGCCCGTAAGCAAGTTCTTAAAGTCTTCACAACCAGTTTCATATTGAAAACTTTGCTATGGCTTGCAAGACTAGAATGGAAATCTCGTAATCCAAAGCTATATTATGTTATATTTTTTAGTAACTTAGAAAAAGTTTGAGATGTTACATAACCAAGATTTACTACCAATATGGAACTTTGTAGGTCACATGTTTAGGATTAAAAAAATAATAAGTTTGGAAAATGTTTGGCAAGTGTGAAAATGATAAAAATAATTCTGTGACATTGTAGTTTTGTACTGTTTAAAAAGTACAAATTTAAAAAAAAGTTAATCACATTGTAAGGCTGTACTTCTAAATATTGTACATGTAACAAGATAACTGTTGGCAAACTGGTGTATAACTTTCATTTTCACACCTAATAATTTTATTTTTCTTCTTGAAATATTTATCTGTTTGGAAAAACTTGAAATGGATAAACTATATTAAGAAGACACAACAATACAAAATGATAAGTATGAAAGCAGTCTTTAACATTATTTATAGTATAATATCAAGTAAAAGACATTGTGATATGCATTTCTCAGTATAGTGTGAAGTTTCTGTCATTTTTAAACTTATCATATTTTAACCATTTAAGTAAAAAACGTAAATGTACCTTATCTCTCTTCTAGGTGAGCATTCCAGGAAACCGAAAAGAAAAGTAGCAACCAGAAAACAAAAACTCCTTCTTGAAATTGAACCTGAAAGTTCCAGTTCATCATCACATGATTGTATATCTAAAATTAACACGTTTTCCTTTTTTGTTGATAAATGTTCCAGTCAGCAGAAACTTCAGAGGACACAAGATGTTTCCAAGATGATTTTGTTATCTACTGGTCGTGTACAGGAAGACTTTCTATCTGTGAGACATGGTACACAGCTTAAAGACAGAAATGAAAATTTAAACTTTGAAACAAGAAGAACTAAGTTGAAACTTATAGGTTCACCAAAGAGACAGGAAGAGAAACCTGAAGAATACAAATATCACAGTATTTGTAAAGAGGTCACTTCAGGACCTTTTACTTACAGTAAGAACACGTGTAAGCCACTTCACACTGATGACTCATCGGTCTCTCACTTGACTCCAGAAGTTCCTGTTATCCAGGTGAAATATTCATTTGGGACTGAAGTAGAAGAAGTGATAACAACACCAGACATTGATGCTTTACTTGATTTGTGGAAGAACTCTCCAGAACCAAGACCTCAACCAATCATAAAAAGGAAGTTCAAGGTGGTAATTATTTTTCAATTAATCAGTAACAATAATGATGTATATCTGTTGATATTTTAGTCATTTATAAAGCAGTGTTGGTAGTTTGTCCTAATTCCCATTTTTCATGTTTTATCTTTCTGATTTCAGATATATGTTTTCTTCTTTTATCGTTATCAGTTGATTAGATAAGAAGCTTGAAACAGTAATTAATATAGCAATTTTTTCTCATATCTGCTACTTCACTAGTCTTTTACTTTACAGAGAATGAAAGAATAGCACTGTTATCTTTAATTTAATATATGAGATAAGTAACATTAAAATCTGTAACTTGATTACACCTTAAAATTATTTATTTTACTAAATTGTAAGTACATTAGGTTTGAACTGGTCATAAATGCAGAAGAGTATTTCTGATGTACTTGTCAAACATTTGGTTATAATAGTTAGTTGGAATATAAGCACATGGTCATAGTGGTGGACACAAGAAAATATTGGTAAGGTTCAAAGGTCGTGAGAGTAAAACAATTAGGGTTTTTTGGTTTACATATTATTCATCAACTTTGTTGTAGAACTAATACATATTGAAACACATTACCAATACTGTTATCCAACATAAAAGTTTTTTAATGGTACGTCTAACAAAAAGTACATATGTGTTATGACAGACTTTTATCATGGACAGAACAAAAGCTTTATTAGTATTAAATTGAAACTTTAATCACTTCTCTAGGGTGCCAAAGCTGTGAAAGTGACTGTTGCTGATGCTTGTCCAGCTTATTACTTTTGGGAACGTCTGAGAGGCATATTGCATGACAAGGATGTCAATTTCTGGGTTCTGAAGAAAGTTGGCTTATCTTCTATTAAAATAGTGAGTATAACATGAAATTTGATGAGATAAATTATCTTCAAAAATTTGTAAATTTTCACAAGCAATAATTACTTAAATGAATAATGTGATGACTGTTAAAAAATTGTAATTACCACAAAAGTATAAACTTTTTAAAAATAGTCAAAAATAAAACTAAATCTTGATATGATGTGGACAATGTTTTTATGGTTTGATAGCTTAGCTAGAATAAAGTTTAGAAATCTAAAAATCAAGTATTAATTAGATTAATCTTAACCGAGAAATATTTATTAGGTGTAACCTATTATTTACTACTGAGAAATGCCATTTCAGTTTTATTGCTATGAGAAACATTTGTTGAATAACGGTCCAGTGAGTGTTAAACCTTTTAGAAAGCATGGCAATCTTGATAATGTAATTTTTATGAACAAATTAATATCTTCATGAAGTATTTAAACCAACAACATCCTTCTATAGATCAGATTTTGCATCTTGAAATTAACAACTTTGGTGATCATGTAGAAATAGGAATGTATCATAAACTGTTCTTTATGGGATTGTACATTTATGCTGACAGCTTTATATCTTTAGGTCAATTTAGTAAATATTCTGTAGAACTTTTCATGTTACCAGTGGCTATCATTATTTTGACGAAGAAATGTAAAGTGTGAAAATGTGTAGTTAAAAAATTTTTTTCACCTACCATTACTTAACAGTATTTTAAGATAGAAATGGTGTTTTTAAGTGTTTTACACTCACAAAAAAAGAAATGTTTCATTCTATAGAATGATAGGTTTCTTTTTTGTGAGTGAACACTTAAATACACATTTCAATTTTCGATACCTCACTATTATAAAGGCTTGGTTTGGTCTGAAGTTTCATTTGGTGGTTGTGTCCAAGGTCACTGATGATGAGTTGGAATTCTCC